CCCTATACTCTGGTTAGTTAATCAATTAATTACCTTCAACCACTCCAAACACCGTTTCTGGCTTTCTCCCGTGTAAGGCCGACAAGACTCTAAGATTATGTCCACTCGATCGTACACGATGCCCACCTCATCACGCGATTTGTACTGGTGAAATCGGTACAACTTTGAGTAGTCCGATAATCCGAATCATCTCCAGTTCTAAATTTGTAATTTCAAATCGACTCAACGGAAGCTTTCGGTGGTGGATGAGTTGGTCGTATAAACGGTTGCATTTTCGCATAAATTTTATAAGCATGGGGTCCTTATCAGTAAGATTTTTTTCCATATTTTTTAAAGAACGAGACAATTTGTCCCCCACTTGTACAATAATGGCCAAACTGTTGAGAAGATGGCTGTCAATCTGTGATTAAATAGAAATTTGTGATGGTCAGTCGTTTTAAGGAAGATTGATATTTCTAAAGAATTGGCAGATTATTATGTAGTTCTTACAGATTTCAATATACCAGGAGACTCCCGGACATACATGCGAGACGTTCCAGTTTTGTGGAGGTTCTCCGTCAGTAAATTAACTACATATTCCCGCATCTGTTCAGGAACGTGGGTGAACCATTTGGGTTTTGAAATTATTTTCAGCAATACTGCCTGATATGTTTGAAGGTCTTTTAAATTTCCATAAATCTTTTCGCTAACTTCTCTAACTTCGCTGAATATTTTGTGCAGAATATTTCCGAATCGGCGACAATTGCGAATTACAGTTTGGCATCGGGGACACCGTTTGACGACAATTTCGTCATCACCATCACCCCCATTGGTCTTCACTGTTAAAAACTTTTCAAATCCGAGTGCTTCATAGCAATGACCACAATCCGGTAGCCAGACAAATCTTTAATTAAATTACGATGGGATTTTTTAAATTTTAAATTTACTTAATATGTGACAAGTTTTACACTTGTTACCTAGAATCTGGTTCATCCTCTGTATACAGCAGCTGGAATTCTAGTAATTCATTTAGATCACATTCCCGGCAGAGTGGAGGGCAAGGCTCGCCACAGTATCCGATACATGGGTGTCCACACTTGGCTAAAATTTTAGAGCAGGGTTCATCACAAGGGGTTCGGTCGCATTGTTCCCCGCATAATTTTGTGCACGCTTTATGTGGACATTTCCATGAACAAGGTTCCTGAAATAAACGTGGCGCTAATTATACAATGTTTCCAAAAATATATATTGATTACTTATTTGAAATTATTCCAACCCTGCAAACGGAACAAGGTCTCCCACAACTTTTTGAACATTCTAAATGTTCGCATTTCATACCACACGGTTTTGAACAAGGTGGACATTCGCTTGAACATGGAAATTCGCATCTAAATAATTAAACAAAACACATTGAATATTTTACAATAAAATGTGTGAGGGATTCAATTTTTCTTATCATACACATGTCCGCAGACAAGAAGACGGCCACAAGGGGAATCACATTTGACATGGAAACGTCCCCCTGAGCACGTTCCACAAGTTCCGCTGCATTTGTGACCACAACCCCCATCCGTTTCTGGAAACGTGTAACCACATTTCTGACTGCAGTGGGCAAGAACTTCATCGGATGATACTGGTAAAATTAAGTAATAGTGTAAACCTTCGTTGTTATATTTTTAGGTGAGCCAAAGGAACCATGTTCTACCGAAAAAACTGTTAAAATTACTACGAAGCCTAATGCAATTATCCTCCTCCAAAATATATGAAACCAGATTTCTCGAAAATGTTTGAAAATATTAAAAAAAGAGTTTAAGCACAAAAGGTTAATGAGTAATTTTTTGGAAAGTCTTTACTCTTTACATAAAGAAAACTACCAGCAATATGAATCAAGACAGTGATATGAATTGGTCGCCTCTAACGTTGCCCCAGCCCTATAACCAATCACAACTCAGAACATTATTATCACGACAATAATAGTCAGTTGCATTATTATCCATAATTTTAATCCTAATTTTGCATGTCTACAAAATATTTCTTCAAACAAATTTTACCTGATGGTGATGCAATGGTAGCATCGAAAGCTCGATATAAATGGCGTTACATATACCAAAAACAATGTCTTACGAAAATTCTACTATTAGTTAATGACTAAGTTTTGGTCATTTTTTGCATGAACTAGTTTTCAGGTTTATTTACGAAGTTTTTGGGTCTTTTTGTATGGCCTGACTTTATGTAGAAATTTTACTTACGCGTATTTGCAACATTGCAAGGAACATTGACAGCATGACTACAAGACGATGTATTCTTCGACTTAACCAATGTTTTACACTTCGATTGATCAGGTATTTCACTGCACGAGAAGACATTAACATGTCCACAGATAGGAACGGTGTGTGGTGTTGGAACCTATACAAAACAAGTCAAAACCAATATTATCCCCACTCGGAGCAAGATAGTCTCTTTAAATTGTAAATCATCCCTGACAAGATCCACAACTTTCGCCACAATTTTTATCACATTCATGACCACATGGAAGTATTCGTTCGCAGACATGTTTACAATTTTTATACGATGCTGGATCAATATGACATGATAATTTTGCAGAGTGTCGGCATGGCAAGTCCTTTTTATCAGGTACAGTGCAAACAGGACATTTTTTAAAGCACGCGTGCATTGTGGCACACTTGTGACCGGATTTACAAGCACGTGCGCATTCCTTTTTACATTGGTAATTCTTATGGTCAGGATCATCTTCTGCATGACACATTTTGGTGCAAGCATGCCCACAATCCAGTCTTATCGTGCATTTATTTCTGCATATGTTTTTAAGTCTCTCGTTATCTTTATCCTTACAAAGGATGGTTACCTGAAAGAAAAAAGAGTACATTGATTTATAACCAGAAACTTGAAAGATATTAATTGATAGTACGCACTTCATGTTTGCATGGAAGCACTTTTTTCACTTGGTTGTGACATTTTACTTCATCCACGGATAAATGACATACGTCCATTTGTTCATGCCCACACGGCAGACTTTTTATGATTTGTGTCTTACATCGAATTTCAGTCTCATCCTCGTGACATTTTAATCCCTTTGTATGTCGGCAGGGTAGCAATTTAACCTCTTCGACTTGACATTTAAATTCGTCTGCGTTGATGTAGCAAGCCATTTGTGAAATCGCAGAGTGAAATCGTATCGACAAGGAGTGCAAGGCATGATATGACAACGATCCCTGCATGGATGTGCTTCATCCTCAGGACGTGTTTTTTCACAGTTTTCCAAACATTTGAAATTTGTGTGTGAAGGATCCTCGATATGACACACGTATGTACATTTATGGTTACAAAGTTGAAGGTCGGATTCGCAAAGGCGAGTACACCCTCCTCGTGGCGCACGGGTGTGAAAGTCGACTCCCCTCGAAATTTTTTCAACAGTTCCGTGATTCCTGCAAATGATGGGAAGTCCGTCTCCCAACCTGCCTGGACCCAGCTTCTCTTTAATTTGCGGCCAAATCTTGCTACCTTGCGAGAGCATATCCATATTTCCAGCGATATACATTCCTAGCCTGGTATATAAAATAGAAAAAAAAATATGGTTGCAAAGTTAGATAGCACAGTAAAATTCGGAATTACTTGGCTCTCGATAGTGCGACACAGACTCGATTTTCCACCTTTAAAAATCCTACTGCTCCATCTTCATTACTTCGTACGAGGGAGAGTAGAATTATGTCATTTTCTTCCCCTTGGAAATTATCCACGCACGTTATCCTCACCCCAGAGGTTGCATCCATTCCTCGAAACTTTCCCTTTAAGAGAAACATTTGACCTGTGTATGTGGCTAGCACTGTTATCTGCGAAGGGGAATATCCCTGATGGATGAGATATCTGCAAAGTCCGAATAAATAGTCGGCTTCGAATTCGTTGGACTTGCTCATAGAATCTGCTTCCTGTCAAAATCAGAAAAATGCTGAATATTCATAAAACTTTGGTTTTTAATTATTTTAGCTTACGCAATTTTCCAGTTCTTTGTGCGAGATGAAAAACATGTTTTGTGTCATGCCAAGAATATCGGGATAACTAAGGACAGATGTTGCGTCAGTAAGTTCTGGATAGATTGTTCCACTAACAAGATCGGCTATCTCTGGACGCATTCTGTGTTGTTCCTGATAAAGTGATAATAAACCGTAGTAACGTTAGAAGTAGCTCACCCTGTCATAATTATTTAGACAGAAGTTAGCACTGAAGGTGCAAAATAAGCCGACAAAATAGATCATGACTCTTATACATTCTTGCACCGATGGTGCAATACAAACGGGAAAATATATAAAATGTCGGAATTACTTTCATTTAACTTTAGACCAAATGTGCTGAATAACCGCAAGTATAAAATTTATATATTTTAGCGTCAATGGTGCAGAATAATGGAGCAAATAGATTAGAATAGAATTTTCAAATATTTTTGCATTAATGGTGCAGGATAATCGAACAAATAGAACAGAATTCTGACATGATTTTTGGGGGGAAATAGATGGCCCACTTGTTACGCATCATTGATTTTTGGGGGGAAATAAATGGCCCACTTGTTACCCATCATTGATTTTTTGGGGGAAATAGATGACCCAATTGTTACGCATCATTTTTAATAACCAATTGCTCGGTACTAACGGTGCTACTTATTCCATAATTATAGTCCTATCTCGATCTATTTGCTGAATTAACTTGCACCATTTGCGCTCGGATTGTTCTATACCAATGGTGGGGCTAAACAAGTCTATAATGGACAAGGGGATTTTTAATCAGCATCAATTGATGCAAAAAACTCGTCAACGGACGGACGGACGGACGGACGGACGGACGGACAGACAAGAGGAATTCAATAGGTCCCGTGCTATGCAGGGTGAGCTAATAACGGATTAGTACAGAAAAATTCATGGCAGACAAGCTAGTAAAGGGATACTTTTAATTTGTACGACTGCAATTTATTGCTGATCATCCGCTCAAATAAGGACACATCCAGGTTATATTTTTTGACAGCTCATATACTGTGGTACTTGGTTTCAATTGATGATGGTCTCCTACGTGGAAAGAGGAAAGATGTAAACCTGATCACGCAATTTCAAAAATCAAATTAATTGTCATTCCTTAAAATTACCAATCAGGATTAGATGTCGGCAACTTTTTGTGAGACGTGTGACAATGTGAGACTCTTGAACTTCTGCTGCCTCTTCTACGATAACTACAATTTTTAAAATAATAACATGATTATCTTAACCCTAATTTATAATAAAATGAAATATACATATTTATTCGAACCAATTTTTGAATTCAAATTTTGCAGGATATCATAATTCTTTGCAGCCCCAGTTGTCGTCATTCCAACCACCTTGCAATGCTTTAAAATCTGACTGTCACCGTATTTCCGAATTTGTGCTGACCTCCGCTCAGCTATAATCAGCTCGGGTTCAAGTTCTTTGCGGCGTTCGTTTAGCAGCTCTTTGGACCGCTCAATTACTACTAGATATGCTTCCCATCTGCACGATCAAATGGATTAACGACTATAATCTATTAAAGAGGTTAAAGAAATTTCTTTACCGAGATATGACTGATGGGAATATTTTCCGCCATGGCTTCTGGGAACCCCACATTTCCTTAAGCGTCTCGTGTACTGCTTCCTTGTCAATTTTCATGCCTCTTAGACGAGGTAGTATATTTTGCAATAGGTTGATACGATTTTCGTTCAGCACTTGACGCATTCTTATAAACTGAATCGTTTGATCATTAACTTCTTGATCAGTCCCGGTGTTTATTTGAATGTTATACTTTTCTAAAGCTGTCGTCAATTCTGCTTCAAGCTTTGACCTCCTCTTTTTGCAATCCATCAATGACAGGTTGTCAAGGAAAGTTAATACATGCGGATCTCCATGTTTATTGCTGGGGATGAATTCGCGTCTCTCGTAGTCATCTACCATTCGGGTTGACAGCAACTCTTCGAGATCGTAGTCTTCTTTTTCAAGTTGATCGTCCTCCTCGACCTCTAATTTCACCAAAATTCGAAACCATGTTATAACATTATGTAGATATTACTTACAAAACAACTTACAGTCTGGGGTTTTCTTGGGCAACTTTGAATTCGGATTTCTACCAAACCAAGAATTAACCAGTGCCGTAGCATCAAAGTTTCCGTGTGAGAGTAATGCATCATTAAATTCGAAGAATTCTAGTGATTCCAATAACCCCCATAAGCACGGAGGAAATTCAGGACGTACTGAGTCCCATACTGCGAGATACCGAAAATCCACAATTCCTGCAAGAAACATGGAATGAATTCATGTAAGCCCAGCGAAACTCTAGTCGACGCAGTGGACACAGTGGCCGTGGCCATGAGAGCACAGAATCTCCGTTGTGAACTACGGACGACCGCACTAGCCGTTGTCCCCATGGATAAATGCAGCTTAGCTGCCCTTTATATGGTAATCTCTCCCGTTTCACTTCCGTTGAACGCAGACTTTTCAAAATATAGTATAGATTCGAATAAATAATAAAATTTAGAAAACCTTTCATTTCTTTAAGTGCGTTGTACTGTTCCTTTAGATAATCGACTTGACATCCCAAATTTTGTACCGCCTGACGGGCTTCGGTACGTAGATCATACTCCGCCTGGGATTCACGCCAACCACCACGGTTTCTGACATTGGACAACTCGAATTCTTTAAGTTTTTCAGACTTGCTTCTGCTTCCTAGACGAACAATACTAGTAGTGCAATCGCGTACAAATTCTCGTGTTTTCTTTTTGCCTTGTTGCTCTAATATTTCTGTAATTCCTTCAAGGAATTGGTCCAAAGCGTGATTTGTGTAACAAACGACAACTATTGGTCCAATTTTCTCGGAATGTGCTGATTTTTGAGACATCCATAGGTCATGATTTTTGAGCAATGTTTCCGCTATTTTCAACCCTATTAGATACACGGAGAACTCAAAATGAAATAAAGTGTGCTGGAAAAATTTAAAAATTTTTTCTACCTAAATGATTACACTACCTAAATAAGTTTTTCCTGTTCCCGGAGGTCCTTCAATAATGACAAATTCCTTCATTATGGCCGCTTGGAAGCCGGCATATTGATTTTCGTCCAAACCTAAAGTATCCCCAGATGGCCAGTCGGTTTCAATTAATGGATTAATCGTCATGATTCCTTCTTCCTCTTCCTTTGGAGGATGATTTATTTTAAGCAATTTTGTCAGCAGGTCTGCTATGTAATCGTCCTCTTCCCTGGAATAAACCAATTTCAGCGGTTTCAACTCTTCGTCTAATGGATTGTCGAGTTCATCAGGCTTGTCTTACTTGGATGGGATAACTAGTTTCATTTTCTTTTGTTCATTGTCAGTCTCATTATTTGCTAGATATCTTGGAGCCAAAATTTCAGAGCTAGCATCAACCAAAAATTTTGCCATGGGAAAGTCCCCCAATTCCAAATTCTGTAGGGTTTTCAGGACATATCTGTTGCAGAAAAATGGATATTTCAACCCGTACTGTAATTATATCATTTTTTTACCATGCTTCTAATTTACCGGTAAGCTTCAAAATAAACTTCACTCTCTATCAGCATAAAATTATCTGTGTCATTGTAACTTGGTGGGTCTCCCTCTGGAATGAATGATAGTTCCCCAGACTTCTTCAATTTGTCAGCATCTCGTATCCCAACAACACCGAATGAACCAGTTTTAAACGCATCCTTCGTGAGGACCAACAACGAACCGGGGAGGAGACGTTTGGATCGGTCCCATTTTACCTTACGAGTAAATTTTTCAGGCAAACGGAGCCAGAAATGGGTCACCCCGCGTAGCAATTCTGATCCAAGAATTTGCACATTGTTGTATATTCGGATGGATCCTAGCGGCATTTTTTTCCGTCCTTGAGAATATTCCATTCTAAAATTTAACTCACGTTATTAATGTAAGACACAATAACTATATAATTTAAATATGTGGAATACTGTAACTACCACATTTGTTCTTAGTTTGCCGTGGTAAAAATTGGTTCCGCCAAATTCAAATTTATTATTATTCTAAATATTGTGGTAAGCAATCTTTGAATACTACAACATTTGGTCCTAATTTGTCGCTAAATGGTCAAATTCAAATTTATTATCATCCAATAGCATGAAAATTAAATAAACCGTGATAATTTTTTTTAATTTGGCAGAAATTTTTACCGGCGACAAATTGAAACCAGCGTGGCATAGCATACTAGTAAATCCGCACGGTAACGATTTTGTATCCTTATTTTAATTGTATAACATTTTGTATAAGCTTTAATTGTCTTACGGATGTCGCAAAAATTCTTGAACGCCTGATCGTAACGGTGAGACGAAATCTTCTCTCATGAGACGGAATTGAATATCCAGATAGTCCAGGGGACTCGCGTACGCACCGCGGGTTTTGTTCCGCCGAAGGAAGACGTCCTCTCGACGTTCCCGCATGAGTTCTTGCATGGAGGGGACGATCGTCATTTCTCGATAGTTACAGGGTGGTTCCATATCGTCCAAATACTTCCATTGTTCTTCCGTAGACCCGCGCCTAAAATACACGAAGTAAAATAATAAAATAAAATACGGTCAGTTTCGCGAAAACCCTTTCGGCTAAAATGTTTTGCAGAATTATGGCCAATAGGCATTTACAGATGTTTATATATCTGTAAATGCCTTTTGGCGAAAAACTTTTCAACCAAATATGACAGTAATTTCCCCATTCGGTACTTTCATATTTTTGTACCAGTTTTTTTACCACTTTTTTACCACTGTCGCCGATTGGTCTGAAGGCGACCAAACAATGGTCGCCAAACTGGCGCTCAATAAAAATAATGGGAGCAATTTTTTATAGCAAAATATGTATATACATATCGCAGCTATGTAAAGTTTACATTATAAATATACCTTTCATACTAAATTCAGACACGTTGACATTCGGGGTGTGTATTCATCACGGGTTCTTATTGTTAGTAACAAAATAAAGTTCTCAAAATTGTATGTGTTTGTCTACATACTTCGCAAAATATGAATATATCTTTCATGACATACTTAACTATATTGCGATGGGAACATACAAATTCTTAATGAATATCCCCATCAAGTTATTAAGTAGCGTCAGCTACTAATTGTGATCATTTTGTCCGTCCGTCTGTCTGTCCGTAAGCAGGATATCTCCAGAACGAGTCAACATAATCAAACCCCATTTTCCGCATTGTGCATCTAATTTTTATTTCTCGGTCGATTTCGGAAATTGGGTCAATCGGACCACACCCAACGGTGTCAGGGGGTGTGGTCCAAATTAAATTTAACTTTAATTTTCATATGGGGTATCATTTTAAAGGAAATTTCACCACGAATTCAATGGCGTCAAAATGTTTGACCTTATGACCGTGCCGACGAGGTCACAGGTCAAAAGATACATAATTGTCATATGGGGTGTCATTTTAAAGACAATTTGACCGAGATTTTGAAGACGCTGATATTTTTGACCTCATGACCTTGCGGACGAGGTCAAGGGTCAACAAAATAGATAATTGTTATATGGGGTGTCACTTTAAAGGAAATTTGACAACGATTGTGATTACGTTAATATTGTTGACCTCATGACCTTGAGGTCAAGGGTCACAAATAAATGATTGTCTGATACGGTGACACTTTAAAGGAAATTTCGATCGTTCTGACGCTACTTTTTTATATTCGTTTGCAAGGGTTTATTTGTACAATTAAATGTACAAAATTCATTTGCAATTACATATATTCAAAAAATTCTAGCGTAGAGTGTCTAGAACTTATCATAAAACCAATTTAAATAAATACAAGGAATTTATCCATACCTAGTTTTGAGTACTTGTTTCACCTCTTCTCTCTTAGATAACGTATCCAGCTGCAACATAAGCTCTTTCAAAGGCACTTCAAATTCCGCCACGGAAGGATCCACACCTTTAATCGCCATCACCAATCCGTACGCCGCAGTAAGAACTGTATTCTTTAAAAAATCCCGAGCACTTTCAGGCATCCGTTTTGTCGTGAAGGAACAAAAGTTAAAAACGTCTTGAATAAATCCCTTCGTTGTGGTGTCAAGTCCTCTGCAAATTAATAATTTAATCGTACATAAATACAATAATTTAAGAATAAATAAGCCGTCATAAACGCACATAAGGAAGTAGCTTCAGACCACTTCACCGCAACCACTTCCACAACATAGCGAAAATACTAAATTTCCAATAATTTTATCTATAAACTCAATTTCAGTGAAAATCTCATTTTCCGCAGACCACACCCCCTCACGCTAAGGGGTGTGGCACAACGCGGGAACACTCGATTTCACTCTATTTCATCCATAAATCTAATCGCACTAAAGATCTCATTTCGCCCCGACCACACCCCCTGGCGCCAGTGGCGGTGTTCCGACTGGCCCCAAAAGCTGATAGCATCCTCCCCCTGGGGTGATATGTAAGATGCCACAAACCGATTTTGATTATCTCGATCCGTTCTCCCGTTATCCTTCTGACTGACGGACGGGCAGACAGACAGACAGATGGACAAAGTCTTCGCATAAAGTAGCTACTTAAAAAGATTTTCAAAAATTTATTTTTCGTAATTCTAATTTACTTACGTTTCACTATTTTTCTCCGAAATTGTACCCCGCTCAGAACTCGCATCAAATCCAGAAATTAACAAATCTCCCAATTTTTGTCGAATTTTATCCAGAAACTTTTGTGCGTTCAAGGTGGCCACGATAATCGTGGTTTGATCCGAGGTAAGAAGAACTTGTTCCGAGCAGACTTTTCGCCCCAGAAGGAACATCACCATTCTTAGGAGAAGACCATCATCCCCCACCCGACGGGTGGAAATTATGGGATCCGATTCTAAAAACTTGGTCCATTCCTCCCCTTCCCTTGCGCTGGTCATGATGCACTTGTCGCTATCTTTTTCCAGGAGGAGGCCTTCCACCCATCGGAATCCCAGGATGAGACGCCTGCTAAAATATTGGTTTAATAAACCGTAGTAACGTTAGAAGTAGCTCACCCTGTAATAATGATATGGTTATAACTTGCCCCAAAGGTGCAGAGAAATGCAACAAAATAGATACATAATTTTTTGCAATTATGCACCAATGGTGCAGAACAATTAAACAAAATATATTAATAATTATTATGCATCGAGAAGAGTCCAAAAATTGTGCATCACTGGTGCACAAAATTGTATGATCATTTCTCCCGGATATTCTGCACTATTGGTGCGTTTTGCATCCCTTCCCCCAATTATTTCGCATCATTTTGTGTTCACGATTGTTAGATATCAATGGTCCTATTAACTTGTTAAAAAATTTGATTCGGTTTGTTTAGTACCAATGGTGCGCCTAACGTATCCAATAATGGTCAAGGGGCTGTTTAATCACGTTATCTTCTCGTTTAAGCATCAATTGATGCAAAAAACTCGTTAACAGACAGACAGACGGACAAGAGGAATTCAATAGCTCTCATGCTACGCAGGGCGAGCTAATAAGGGTATTCAATATAAGTTGGCATGCTCGCAAAATATTTTGGCAACTTATGTCAATAGGGCAGGGAGATGGATACATTTTCCCAAGCAATTTCTCCAGCCAAAAATTTAAAATTAAAATTAAATTATTAAATTTAAATTTTCGAAGTTTGTCATGTTACAAATTTACAGATTCGCAAAAGTTTAAGAATGCCAACTCGTATTGAATACCCCCATTACTTAATATTTTTTGTATTTTTTCCTACCTGTTATTTTGGTACGTCACATCTCGATTCCGAACCGTCACGTCTCCATTTTTACCATCAGATGGAACATCTATGCGTTTCCGTGGAGTAGAAAATGATGGTCCGTCCCTCTCCGGATCTGTATTCGGTCTTCCCCTGCCAAATCCTCCGGTTCCCCGCCCCCTCCCCCTGGATCCTCCTCTATCACCCCAAGAATGTGATGAGGACGGTGATTGCGGATTTCTTGAAACCCACGACGACCTCCCTCTTGACCCTTGACCCCGAATAGAATGGTCATTCTGCTCCTGTTTTTGGGCAGCACCACGCCGACGTTGTGGAGGCACGTAGGCATCTTCCGACATTGTTTTTTAATTACTCAATTAATTTCGTATCGAAACACTTGAAAAGTATTAAAACGTCCAATTCAAACCAAACGTTTATCACTACTAACTAATGCTTAAAACGTAATAAATATTTCAGCACAATTTAATTTTAAGCGAAACGTTTATCTGTTTTCCCCATAGTTCTTCTTATCTGGAGAACTGCACGATAACAGGGACACATGTACTGATTATGGGGTCCATTATACATAGCATAAAACTCATACCGACTCTGAGGATCAGTTAGTCGGATAGGGAGCGTTCATATATTACGTCGTCACTTTACTAGGCGGGTGGTTCTCTTCCCATCTTTCCCATATTAAAACGCCCTATCTCTTAATGCATATATATATACATATATTGGGTGGGTGTGTATTTACATAGGTGCTAAAATTGAGAATTCTTGATAACGTAATATATGGATGACCCCCATGTATGTATGTATGTATTTTATTACGCTAAACACGTAGTTTAGAACAGTGCAGTGCCAAGATTCTGCTCACATATTATCTACAAGTGCTGATAAAATATTTATTATGCATACGTATACAACGTAGTTCAAATCAGCCTTCACTCTCTGCCCGGACCGCTGTATCTCCAGTCCGACCAGAATGCCATAAGACTTTTAACTATGTGGAACTGCGTACCGCGACGTTCACATAAGGCGTCATCAAAAAGCGACTTAAAAGTACAAGCTCAAAATTATTTTTTTTCGATATGTGTCTAACATATCGTTGTTAGACAATTACTGAGATAATTGGTCAAAGATAGTGCCACATTCTGTGCGTATGTCCCCCTCCATTCATTCAAAAATATTTGAAGTTAGCTGGCAACCTCACATAACGAGATAGGAAAAGTCCAGGCAGAGAGTGAAGCCTGGTTCAAATAGGACGCTACGTTGTGACAAATTTACCCTGACTTCCATTAGTTATGTTACAACATCAAATAAAAACAAGATTACATAATTTGTGTAAATTGTTTTTACAACATTTTAATCAAATTTTAATCTAATTATTTATTGAAGGCGGAATAAATTAGTGAAAACATATGTATACATATGTATTTAGCATTCTTTTTTATTCACCTTGTAATATGCATAGAATAAACTTTTTTATCACCACTTGTACATATGTAATATGCGACAGAATTTTGTAGCACTTTTCAAACTAAACTCCGTTTCAAGTTACTTGAGTTCCCCGCCTTGAGTACCTTAGCCGAATGAACCGAATTATCCTATTATTTTATACCAGTTATTTTTATTTTGGCGTTTAAATCATACGAAATCATACTAAATTGAATAATTTAAACGCCAAAATAAAAATAACTGGTATAAAATAATAGGATAATTCGGTTCATTCGGCTAATGTAATCTAGGCGGGGAACTCAAGTAACTTGAAACGGAGTTTAAGGATGTATTTATGTACGTAATGCAATACAGAGGCTGAACGGGCGAAAAAAGACCACTTTGAATTGTTTTTCGTAGTAGAGGAAATTATTTTTCGAATTATTTAAGTTCTTAGTCTGATAGCCATGATTGTTCTTTACCTACCTACATCTCGATTTCGAACCCGAAAACACGTTTTAGCCTGTTTAAAGCAAAATTCCGGCGCATTCGCGTCGAGCAACTTTCCAGAGACAATAAAATGTCATCGCGAGTCGTAATAAAAGTCGTTGTTTTAAATATCCAAAACCGAAAAAATCCAATGTTGACATATCAAGCGACTTGACATGAATGTCCTTATTGAAAATTATGCTTATCTCCAATTGTCGATGAATAGTGGTTGTACAATTGTTGACGTTCTTTGAAATGTGAGATGAAATTTTATTATCAGAAATGAAAATGTTGTTAATTTCACCAAGATCCAGTTGATTAAGATAAACTCCCACCAATGGCTTCAGAACACTATCGAGACATAAGTGTTCGTTAATTTCTACATTTGGTTTTTCCAATATTAGGGGAGTGGTGCTCTGCCACACAGAACTCCAACAACCATTATTTTTTCCAATTACTTTTTCATGCAATATAATTCAAAATTTCATCAAATTTTTCACCGTCTTCCAGGCAACAAATTTTTGTCTCGCCTTGGCAATAGTTAAGGTAATGTCAAGCCTAATTGACTGTGGCAGTATAATCACTTTTGTTTTCAGGTAGGCGGCTCTCGAAGGCTTCTTAGAGTTGGTCCCAGTGCCTAAACTAGGCCACCCACGAGGGTGGGCAAACTTATTGTTGCGCCCCAAGCCGCTCGCGCCTTCGGCGCTCGTAAATTTTTCTGAGCACCAAAACGGCCATTTAAAAATTCGTTGTGAAGACGTGGTTTATTATCTTAAGCACAATTAAACCAGTTATAATGAATTTTTGTGCATCCTTGTGTCCGCCACACCGTAATTTCAAAGACTAATTTTGTTAGAGTAAATAAATGTCAAGACCTGCACTGGAAACTATCGGCCCACCCTCACTTTGTGCAGGTATGTAAAAAAATTGCCTGATGAGAAATTTTAGGAATGACCCCTTAGGTAGTTCGTTCGCACCAAAGTAAGAAAACTATGAAATCCTTGAGTTGACGTTCATCTAGAGGGCGCGGGTGTCCAGAAAGTTTCTCCCTATGGAATTTCCGACCGTTTTTTGGTGCTAGTTTTTACATCTGTGAGTTTTGTCGTGCAATTATTTTTCCATTACGATACCAAAGGTAAAGCCTTTTCCCATGCACAAATGAGAATCCTAGCAGCATCCAATGCAGGAGATGGAAGTGGAAATGCAAAAATATTTTGGTCCATTTAAATTGCTTCTTTATCTGGCAGGTACTGTTTCACTTTTTGTTAATTTCTGGTGTTTTTCTACTACCACATGATGTACACTGCATACATATATCTCGCTGACCTCGAATTCGTCGATTTTGAGTCGGTTTACAGTCACTCTTTGTGAATAACCCTCTCAGGAAAGCGTTTTCGCTACCACTTTAGGTTTTGACGTATGATGCTTCTTCATTTTTTAAACAAAATTTTTGAAAAAAATTAGGAATACAAGATGATCGGTTTGTTGACAACATATGCAAATTTCGACGAATTCCGTCAACCCATACAAATTTTAGAGCCATACTTAAGTGGTCTTTTTTCGCCCGTTCAGCCTCTGTACATTACAATTTAATTCCATAACTAAATAGGCATATAATGTTGTATAACCGACCAATTCAGTATACATACCCAATGGAAATCGTAATCAGTACAAGCCTGGTTATCGTTCAGTTCTTCTCAAGATAAAGAATAAACACGGCAGAACGTTTCGCTTAAAATTAATTTGTGCAGAAATGTTTATTAAATTTTAATCATTATATGTAAGCTCTGTAGATTTGGGTTAGCTATACATGCCTTTTCAATACGTTTCTTCAAGTGTTCAAATTACACAATTTAATGCAAAGCCAGCAATATTGTTACGTATGTACCATATGAAAAGTATATAAGTTCGGATATTTAAATGAAAAATATATATGAACCCATCAGCTGTGCAGAATAATATTTTTTAAATATTTGAAAACACTTGGGTAAAATATGACAAATCAACTTCTTCCAGTCTTTGCGAAGAGTGCATACATATATTTGATGACTTGCGATTTCGAGTATATGAATGAATACCGGAATCACTTTAAAATTTCGATTTAGATAAGATGCTATGATATATCTATGGATAAGATGTTTGTAGAGCTGATTTTTTACAACGGTCCAAGTCTGGCGTTTCTACTCCGCCCCCCTCGCGGAGTGGGATGAGCTCAAACTTTATAAAAATAGGGGTTTTCTGCGATTTTTAGCTTAAAGGCAGATGAATATTTTTCAGAACAGTTTTCGTCAAAAGTTTCCTAATTTGTTTTCCCTACAACCTTTTGAAATTCTTAAAACGGGTCACGATTTTGGACTTTTTTAGGATTTTGGACTTTTTCTCAAATGACTCTAACATGTCCGGGAACTCTACCAACTTATGCTAAACAACATACAATTACGAAATTTAATGGTTTGGGGTCCACCAGATTTGCGATATGCGTGAGAATGAGAATCTGAAATTCTCCAGAATTTAACATTGCAAAATATTGGGAGCTAACATGTTTGTATACCAAGATGTCCTGCCATTAAATATTTGTTAATGTTTGGCATGATGTCAAATAAAATGCTACATACATATGCCAATATTCGCAACAAGTTGAAGTTGTCGGGCTGTGAATACATCGTCACACGGTGAACTTTTTTCACATTAAAAATTAAGAAATCTCAACCACGTCCAGACTCTGCAATTAAGTGCACGTGTACCAAAAATAATTCCAGACCGTAATTAATCTGGTAATGTGAGGATCAAGGTTTTACTTTTACACTCTGCAACTTTTGTCCTAGCCAAGTTACAAATATGAGGGAAATTTGTGTTATTACCCGTTTTTTAAATAAGCAATATTTTGCATGCACCGGAGTTACAGTAATGTCCGGAATTTCGAAAGACAGAAAAAATTGATTTTTTAAGGTTGACGCAAATTGTAGAGCTGATTTTTGTGGGTACAACGGTATCCCTAATTTAGTTCAACTCTGCCCCGTACTTCAGGGGGAGGGGCAGAAAGTATACAAATACAACATCAATGGCTGTCGTATTTATACAAAGTTGTGAAACGAAACTTAACAGGACATGACGTGTCGCATGAAAGACGTCACGTTATCTTCTCGAACTTGTCATAAATTAAATGCACCCCATTGTTATTTAAAAAAACACTACACTTAAATATTTCCTATTTCCCATTTAAGTAAATCGAAAACAATGCGTAATAATTTCTCATGTATGAGTAAGAATTAAATAATTCGACAAGCAGATCCGCCGACTATTTCAAAAGTGGAAATACTCTATTGCATTATGTTCCCCACATGAAAAGAATTAAAACTTGCCAATTTTTTCGGGCGCCAAAATTTCCCTTGGGGGGTTATGAGAATAATGGGAGATTTATATGGTGCACATAGGGCACAGCATAGCTATGGGACGGGTTGATGAAATTTTAAAAACAAAATTTTGTTAGACTCTCTGGATCAGTACACCGATAGGTTTTTCGAACCGAGTTGGAATTCCGACTTTCAGGGGTTTTTC